CAAAGTAAAGGAATGTATGTCCCCTTCATCGGTGAACAATTACATGCATGGATCAAACAAATTCCTAGTTTTCGTAATAAAATCAAAACTTCCTTTAATTCCAAAATCAACTCTCTAATTTCATGAACTCGTGATTTTTATAACTTTTTCTTCAAAGTCATTTATAAACTCCATTGCATGGATCCAATCTTCAAACATTTCTTGTTGCATGTAATTTATAGAACTCAATTCAAGAATGATTCTCAAAATTGAACCCAATTTAACAAATTTAAGGAATCATAACTCATATTCTTCAACCTAACTTAATTTAACATGCAAAACCCAATTCCCATCAATTTACATCATAATCTTCAAATTACCTCTTACTTTCATTATTTCTTTCCAATTACATGAAATTGAACCCAAACTCATCTTCAATTTCAAGTGTAATACAAAGATTCTACAAAATCAAGCATAAATTTCATACCTTAAACTTTAATTGGCTGAAATTCTTGAACTTTTCCTTCCTCTCCTTGGTTCTCTTCTTGTATTCCTTTCCATTGACTTGAATTCTCTAGCACAATTCTCTCTCTCTCTCTCTCTCTCTCTCTCTCTCTCGGTTATCCGTTCTCTCCCTTTGGCTCTATTTTGTCCCAGCACACTCATCACTTGATGATGTATATATATGTATATAGCATTGTTGCCTTGAACTTTCCAGAACACACCAACATCCCTTTTTGCATTATAATTTTATTAAAAATAAATTAATATATCAATTACATTTTAATTGAACATCATTTAATCTTAATTAATCTTGATTAGCCCAATCACAAATCCTACATAATTTAATTAGTCTAATTTGACCTCATTTTAAGCCCAATTAATTATATTTAAATTTATTAGTCCGAATTAGATTTTTAATCAAACTTTCAAAGGCTCCAAATATTAAATTAAGATTATTGTCATCATCAAATTTTGATTTCCCAAATCATTTAGACCTTCAAGCGGCATCAAAGCTATTATCAAATTATTTGGAACTAAACTTTTGTCTTTCTCAATTCTTTGCAATTTAGTCAATTCAAATTCCTTTGTTTCAAGAGGTTCTTAAGAAATGTACATTTATAACTTCGACAAAAACATTTTCTTACTTTATATTTCGCATTAACTCTTCTAAGTAGTACTAGATACAAGCTTCTTTACGATAAATTTAAGTGTTGGTCATATTCTAATCATCTTAGTAGTCTCTAGTCGAGTCCCAAAAATCCAATTAAATGTATCCTAAGTCTGCCAAACATAGGTAGGAAAGATTCACATAGCCAAAACATATATGATATAACAACTCAAAATTCTATACACATGCTTAAAGTACTCATTCACTTAACAATTGGGTTAGGTACTAATATTTAAACTGATAGAGTGGTATCAGAATACGAGTTAATATCTCACACATGTGTCCATTGAGCATAAGAATGTTTAGAATGAATTTAAGTTGCATGCATCTAGTAAGCAAGTGATAAGTTATGCATTTAAGAATACGTATGTGTTTGTGTAATAGATTTAAGTAGGAGATTTTGATACTTATAAGAGGATCGGAATGCGTTTGTTTAATAAGTGTGGTATGGGGCCAAGAGTCAAGAACTATTGAGGAACTTTTTCACATTATAAGAAAATATTAGTGAGTACAAGTACAATGATTTATGAGAATATAGTATTATAAGAATTAAAGGTTATTTTGGAATTTCGATGAGTAAAGAAGACTGGGATGTGTGTGTTTAATATGTTTAATATTGAAGTTAAGAGCTGTTGTGAAAATTTTTAATGCCATGAGGGAAATGTAATTTTTTATTATAGCACATTGGTGAGTACAAGCATATTGATTCGTGGGAACACGGTATTATAAGGAATTAAAATCTTTAACGAAAGTTATGAAAGCTGTATAGGTTATATGTCAAATTAGACTATGAGAATATTTGAAAAGTTGAAATATTTGATGATCAATGAAGTATATGGGACTATGGTGATTGAAAGTTAGAAAATTATTTAATATGAAGATGATGTACTGTTTGCGTGAGGGACCTACTGTATGAACCATAGAGTTTCATATTTTTGTTGATGACCTTAAAAGTCTGATTGGAATCACATTCGGCCGATGTACCTTCGAATCAAAAATTCTCGATCAACTTCATGGGAATAAATAGGTTACCCTACCAATGTCCTTGTAAAAATTGTTTAATTATGGTTGAATATGTGATGTTATGTTTCAAGCTATCCAATGTTACCCCAAGTCTTTTCCACCTTTGACTTGTGACTTTTGGAAAAGATGATGAGAAGTAAGTACAAAATAGAAGTTAAGTCCTTGTTGGAGTAATTGGGCAAAATAGAAGAAATGCTAGAAAATATGATGAAAACTATGCAACAATGCTATGGGAAACCGCGAGATTAGAAGAAAAAGTAAAGTGTTAAGTCAAAGAAGGAATTGCATAATATAACTAAAAGGTGGAGTGTTAATTGTTAAGCAAAATCCGAAGAGACAAGTAATTTTAAGCAAGATATAAGTTCACCCCCAAATTATTCAATTTGTTACAAGTGTTATACAGGGTGTGTTATCGAATTTCGGGAGCATGTTTCAAATGTGGAGAGATAGAGCGACTAATGAAGGACTATTCAAATAATAAAATTTTAAGGAGATTCCAAGTCAAATAGTCAGTTTAAAGATTAGTAACTAAGCCAATTGTTAGGTGAGTGAGTACTTTAAGTATGTATATAGAATTTTGAGATTTTGGTTATGTGAATCTTTTCTACCAAATGTTTGATAAATTTAGAATATGTTTACTTAAAACTTGATCGAAAATACTAGAATTAATAAAATGTGACTAAGGGCTAAACCAATGAAGATTGGCCTATTTCATGTTGGAAGGAGAACGATTCTATTTGCTAAGATTGCATTGTCAACATTGGAAAACAAGTTCGTTTCTAGTGTTAGTCAAAAATTTATTCTTAAAAATAATTTGATGATATCTTTAATGCCACTTGAAGATTGAAATAAATTAATGTGTACACACATATGAGAATTTGAATGAGTATGGAAATAATGAATCATATATTGTCTATGCCAATGTAGTACTAGCCAACTAAGGAATCAAAGAATGTGTTCGGCAGTTTTGTGGTAGAATGTCTAGTAAATGCAAAAAGTCTTGAGTTAGAATGCATATTCCTATGTTTGTTCAATTAATTATGGTAAATTTAGAACTCATCTACTTAGGCATTCAGAACTTAATTTGAGGTTGTTGAAACAATTGGGATGAGAATGCTTCGATTTGCCAAGACCACTATTGAGCACCCTTACCACCTGTGAACGAACGTTTGTGTGATGATTGATTCAGAACCTGTTCTTTTTTTTTTCCCCCTTTCAACCCATTTGGTTATAAATGAGTTGATTATTAGGATTAATGTTATGTGATAAGTGTTTCTTCGTTATCTAGAGGAGCTATGTTATTTGGAAATGTTATACTATGAATTTGACTCAATGCTTTCAATATGGATTATTGGGATGTAATGTTGAATATGATCAGTAAATGTTGGCCATATGCCGGAGTGAATTGTCTTTGACTTTCGAAAGTAAATGACTTTTCTTCTAGAACTAATGGAACAAATCCCCACCCTATTTGATTTGTCAATAAGGCTATTGTGGTCAGAGAAATTGTGGACCAAGAAAAAAAAAAAGTGAATTTGAGGTTGTATCAAGTACCTAATCTATTTTGATGACTTCATATGGGATGTCAATAATGGAGTATTTTGATTTATTTGAAATTAAGTTGGATCATGAATATCATTTGTGATTAATCCTCAATGATTTGGAGACATGTAGATTATTTGACTTATTGGAGACATGTGAATAGATGAATAGAAGTATATGAATTAAGTGATTGACGAGAATAGTACATTGTGATTAATATGTTTCGTGGTTTAATGTTATGAGGTTGACTTCAAGGTCTAGTATATATTATTGATCATTACTAAATGACCTTTGATGAAAATATGGACTATAATGAATCACCAATTTGGGTTATTAACCAACAAATAAATGAGAATGAGTCGAACTCTTGTGATGAGAAAATCGAATGGTAAGGAAGTTACTTCGAAAAGAGGAATGAAATGAAGCAAAGCTATATGATTTGTTTTCAGGTACAAGTGTCTTAAGTTTGAAGGATCAAACTTTCAAAGAATGAGAGATTGTAATGACCCCACCACGTATAATATTTTATATTTAGTTAATTAAGGAGATTTGAGATTTTAATTAGTCGTTATTTTAATTTAATTTGGGGTTTATGAGAATTGTGGAATCTAATTCGTATATGATTCTATTAAAGATTTATTTTGGAATTAGAAATTAAGGGTCCAAATTGCTTAAGGAAGTGAAATTAATAAGTTGAATCAATTTAATTTTAATTATGAACCCATTTGGGCGTTTAATTAATATTTAGTTCAGTTTAGTAAAGTCAAGATTGGATTAATTGGGTCCAAATCGGAGTTAATTAAGTTAATTATGTTATAAGGTTTGAGAAATTATGATTATTATGAATTAAATCTATTTTTGAGGTATCCAATTTGAATGTGTAATTTATTGACGAAAATTTTGAGTGTGATCAGAAATTGAAAGCCAAATTGATTTGAGAAATCAAAATTGATGATGGCAATAATCTTAATTTAATATTTGGAGCCTTTCGGGAGTTTGATTAAAAATATGATTCAGAATGGTAAAAATTAAATATAATTAATTGGGCCTTAATTGAAGCCAATTAGACTAATTAAATTATGTGGGATTGGTGATTGGTTATGATTAATTTAATTATGTGATAATCAAAATTTAATTAGATTAAGTGTTGCTTAATTAAATCAATCCTAATCATAAATTGAATTATAAATGGTCTAGAATTGAGAGTGTATTTGGAGGTGGGTGTGCAGAAATCTATGTGTGCAGAGAAAGCTGTGTGTGTATGTGTATAAGTGTCAACATAAGGAGAGAGAGTAGGCAACTTTTCCTTTCTTTGAGTTGGGCAAAACCGTGAGAGAGAAAGAGAGAGAGAGCTTTGTGCTAAAGGGTTTTGAAGGAAATTCAAGAAAGGAAAATGGAAGATCATCAAGAAACTATCAAATTTAAGATTAAAGGTAAGGATTTCAACCTTGATTAGAATTCATGTATTACACTTGAAATTAATGATGAGTTTGAGTTCAATTTCATATAATTTGGAAGAAATTAGAAAACAAAGATGAAGACATTAAGTTAGGTTCATGTTATGGAAATTAATTATTTTTGGTTTGATGTTGTGATCTTGTATGAAATTAAGCCTCATTGTTACATGTAGAAGTAAATTCTACAAGTTTAATACTCTAATTATACATGCATCATGGATTTTGAAGAATTTGAATTAATTCAATCTCATATTTTGAAGAGACAAAGGAAAAGTTTTGAAAATTAGGAATTTGTTTGATTTTGATCTTTAATCCATGCGTGTAATTTGATTTAAAAGTTTTATTCAATTTAGACACATTTTGGAACATCTATAATCATAAATTAAGTTTTTGGTTACAAATTAAGTTAAGTTGAAATTCTAAGAAATTGATTTTGTAATTCATTAGATAAGTTTGACTTTTGTTATTAATAATGAAATCGGGTTCTATTTTTTACATACATCATGAAATTTCAAGAGTTTGGAAAGTTTAATTCATATTTTAAAATTTGTGGGTTGGATATAAGGAAAATGAATTAAACCTAAATTTGGACAAATTTCGGAATAAATTACAATTTATACTTGAGAATCAAAAATTAGTTTGATTTTGATTTGAATTTCATATATGGGAATATTTCTTTTAAAGAGTTTTATATCTCTAATTTTATGTTTTATAACACAAAAGAAGAAAAATGTTGAAATTATTATATTCATAAAATTATTATGATCAAAGAGATTTTTGTATTAGACATTAGAAAATCAGTCAAGGGTTCATCTTTATTAATAAAATTACATGTTTAAATTGGTTCATGCAAGAGTCAAAGTTTTGAAAATGTGTTTGGGAATTATTTTTGTTGGTTTTCAAAAACACAGAAAATTTGCAGACCGCTCAAGCGGAAAAGTCACCGCTCGAGCGACCAAAGGTGTGCTCGAGCGAAGACCCTATTTTTAGCAATTTTTTACTAACTCTTTTAAGTGCCTATTTGCATCCTCATGACATTCTAAGTATTCTTAGGCACCAATTGGACTCATATAGTCATGAAATAAGGTAGAAACATATAAAGAGAGTTGAATTAAAATGAAATGAATATTGAATGGAGCTTATATTGTATCTTTGTTATGTGATTTGTATAGGTGGACGTCCGAAGCCTTATATCGACTTAACCCACTGTGAGTAATAACTTTATAAAGATATGTTCAAGTGATATTTATTTTCAAAAATGTTATTTTTATCGACATCGATACATGATTGATTGAATGGTTTATCGAAGTACTATTTGTTACTAATGAATGAAGTTCATTTTTGTAAACAAACTCGTGGCATCCTTTAAATAGACCCTTGCCTGGGGGAAATTAATACCATGGCCCATTGTTGAATAGGCCCTTGCTTGGGGAAAATTAATACCATGGCCCATTGGCCCTCGCCCGGGGGAAACAATACCGTGGCCCATTGGATAATTGAAATACAGAAATCTCTGCTGTTAGACCTTAATGGTTACATTGGATATGATATATTGATTGACCCATTGTGGTCCCATTCTTGAGTTCCCATTGTTATTGATACATTGTTACTTTATTGGATGTACTACGTAAATTGTAATTGAATGAGTTTTGATATGGATCATTGAGAATTGGATTGAAATTGACACGAATCATTGAGAATTGGTTTGAAATCGGAATTGTATGGAAATCGCTATCGAACAATGGTTTTTCCATTGCAAAGGATTGATATAATGGCTAATCGAATTGTTTTGCCTATTCAAATAGATTGTTTCGGAAAATGAAAACAATGATTTGATATGGAAATTGTTTTGTTATAAATTTGATATAATAAGGCAAATGCCTTACTTTAAAAATGATTTAAGATTCGTTTCGAAATTGTAAGATAGGTTTTTGTATTATCGTCAAACTTCATTCACTTAACCTCTTTATTCTGTTATTACTTGCTGGGCTTTAGTTCACTATTTATATGTATATGTAGATGAGCAAACTAAGTGTAGACGCGCCCGCGTGGGCCTCGCTACAGTTCAGACTCGATTTTGTGTCACGGTTCTTAATCTGAACCAAAAAGTCCAAATCCGGCAAATCGTTTTGAGAAACAGATTTTTGAAAAGAAGTGCCAAACATGGACTGCTTTGCCAGATACAGAGTCGCCACCTAAATATTTTATTTTTGGGGAATTTAGGAAACCCTGACTCGGTGCCAAAGGTCACGTGTCCGTCATCACCAAAGTTGCCTCGGCTCGGGAACTTGGGTACGATTGGGAAAGGTCAGCTATGAGCACCCCCTCTCGCCCGATCCGAAGATCGGCCTCTACTAACCGTGATATCTATTTTGAAAATATTATGTGTTCTTATTCCGATTATTAGCCTAGAATTACTATGTTATGCGCACAGCACAAAAGCATAGACTAGATTGCCTAATTTGGGAATAAGCATTGCATGTCCGTCTATTTTGGAAAAATGTTTTGGAATTTGCTACTCGCAAGTAGGCTAAAACACGGATTTCAATGAGCTATTCCAACTCAGACAATCCAACCTTCACCCACAGGCATTCAAGCAGTTATATCACATAAGCAGCTAAAGCATAAATACTTACATCGTACTCCGTGCCAAAACAAAGAACTCATTAGCAATCAATGCATGATCCAAGTCCATGTTTAAATGTCTAATGCAATGCATGCGGAATGTCACTAGAGTAGGCTCGGCTAGTCTATGGATGACATGTGAAAACGCACAAGTAGCATGTATTCAAGTTAGATTTGAAATACTAATGCAGTTAGAATGATGCGCCGAGCCCGGTGCATGCAATACTGATGAATGATGCACGCATGCATAGCATAAGGTATGCTAAATTAAACATGACCTATTACTAACCATCAAAGCAGGTAAGTAAAAAGGAGAAAGAAGTGGGGGTTGGAAGACATGCACACACTCACCCACACTTATTACAAATTCGCCCTCGCTCGGAGGGACCAAAAGAATAATACAATTAACTAACTCGCAAGCTAATTGATTATTACAAATCACCTAATTAATTAACAAATTAACTAAGCTAAGAAAAGCAATAAAAAAGGCCTCGGGAAAAGAGGGTCCAATGCACGCGTGCTCTCACCGGCCATGGCTTGAGGCCACCGGGCGAGTGATTTTATGCCATCGGCAATGTATGTTGCCGGTCGGCCATTTATTTTGCCAAAATGACAATTTTGAATGGCCGATCACTGTTCATTCTACTTTTGGTAGATATTTTGTGCCAGCTGTGATAGCTGGCACCCACTTTTCTCCCTCCATACACGTGTATGGAGGGTGTATGGAGGGATCTCTCTCTTGACAAGCTTATTTGACAAGCTTTACAAGAGAGAGCTCTATAAGAGAGAGTCTCCTCTCTTGGATTTAGGGTTAGAAAAAACATAGTTAGAGAGCTCTGGTTTTAGGTTAGGATTTATATATCTATCCTAATATCTCTCTCTCTCTCTCTCTCTCTTGAGCTTAGTGTGTGTGTTTTGTCTTACTTTGCTCACAAGCACCCACCATCACTGTCACGACCCAAACCCGGCCCTATGGGTTTAGCACCGTAACCGCCAGTAATCCGAGAATTACCGAAGGCCTGCTGAAAACAGTAATAACAGTGGAAACAGAGTTACAGGGCCTGGCGGAAGCCAATACAGTAAATAAATAGTGTCCATTGAGCTGTGAACAGTCTGTATGCAAAAAGGCTTTTCATACATTATACAAAAACAGTACAGAACAGTATACACAATATTCACATCCACTTAACTAGGGACTCAACCCCACATAACAGTACAGAAAAACATTCCGTCTGTACAACACAGTATACAAAATTAACAGTCACACAGTACAGGGACCTAATCCCTGTATAACAGTACAGTAAACAGTCAGTCTATACAAAACAGTGAAACAGTACAAAAAGGGGGAAATTCTAAAACACCCCTAAGCCTTAACAGTAGGCTCGGAACCTCGCAGTGAGGCACAAAGGCTTGCTTGACAAAACTGGAGTAACCCTGACGCCTCTAGCTGCGGTCTGGTGCCTGTACACCTAACATATATATATGAGCAGTGAGCTAAAGCCCAGTGAATAACATAAAGCGTAAAGGGGTTTAGAATGAATGTCCTTACAGTAATGAAAACAGTTCATTTCAATCAAGTATTCAGTTGCTCAGTACAGTAAACAGTCATATGTGGTACACTCCATTAGCATAACAGTAAAGTAGGTCTTAAAAGACCGAACAGTAATGATGGCCATCAGTCAGTAAAAAGTAGTGGTTCCACAAGGAAACCGACAGAGATCTCTGTGACAGTAACAGTAACAGTAAACCGTAGATACTAAGGATGCCACAGTTACAGTTCAGAAATAAAGGGACATACATTCATTCAGTAAATAATACCAGTTCAGTAAACAGTTCAGTTCAGTATTCAGAAGATAATCAGTTGAACATATCTTTACACAATTGTTACTCACAGAGTCTGGGCTACAGTAATGCTAGAGAGCGTGTCTCCCCAGTTGCCAACCCTACACAGTTCAACAGGTTGAACACACTAAGCTACACAGTTGGGAAATCTCATAACTATAATCCCTAATTTGCCTTGGTGTGTTCTACAATGATATCCTCATCAAGGTGCCTTTAAACGGTATTGAAGAGCTGTAGAGAGAAACACATATCATAGAAATGCGAAGTATTTAGACCTGGTGGCTAAGGAGTTCGCGCAGTCCACTCAAGCGCCACATTCTCGTGCATCAGAGATAGAAGAGCTAACAAAACATATAGGAGCAACACCTGCTTCAGCGAAGACAGCATTTTTCGCGGCGTTATTCCAGCAAAAAAATCAAGCCCGAGTCTCGCTCGAGACTACCAACTGACAAGTCTTAGAAGTTTTACAATACGCTACGAGAGAGCACATGTGTGGTCAGCGCCAACATTCCGACTCGAGCGCCACATCTTGCGCTCAACGTCCCGCCTGCAAACTCAAAACGATACGAGAGCAGATTCAAGATAGTTGTTTGCGATTCGAAGCGCGCTTTTGTCCGAGCGATGCATCGAATTTCGCGAACGGCCTGCACAGAAACGATGAGCGTACACTGCTACAAATAGGCGTACATACTGTCGTAAAGACATGGGGTGAACATCTCATAAACCTTCACATCTGGAAATTTCTCACTTGCATTATTTTCAAAATATAATGGGCAAGTGCGTCAACACATGCCGCCGCACCACAGCAGACTAATGCGAAGTAATCCCCCACTCTTGCCCAAAATTAAGGCGCTACAGCACGCTCATAGCTCATACCTGCTTTACAGTTAGGGATTATTTACCAACGAGCCGAGCTACTGCCAACAACAGTATTCTACTGAGGTAACTCACAAACTGACTGTTGTAGATATTAGGCAAAATCAGCGAAAAATATATACTGGGATTAAACACAAACACTCCTCGCAGCAAGTTGCACCTTACACTCTACTTCTTCCAAATCCCCATTGGAATCCTCTCCAAAAATCACCCCGCACTACCAACAAGAAGTCAATTTCCATCAGTCAGCGCGATAGCCCACACAATGCCGTGAGACGCGATGTATCTGTTAGGAAGGCCAA